ATCTAAATATTCAGGGGGAAAATAGATTCTGCTTTTCTGTCCGCCCCCCTCCCCCCAACATATGATTAAGACTTTTCCCTTTCCCTCAGCAGCCAAGAAAAAATGGTGGGAGAAAGATGCTCTCCTGAAATTATGTTGCTGATAGACTCATGCCTCCCTCTTAAGAAAGAAATTTATTCTTCTTTACAAAGGAAAGTTCGCATCATTCCTAAAGGTTAGTGAGTCCATGATCATCTGTATTTATTAACTAATCTCTAAGCAAATCTCATCTAGGTCTGCAGCTTTCAATGCATCAATATGTCGATGACTCTCAAATGTCCATTTCCATCCCTGACTTCTCCTCCGAGTTGCCCTCTCAATATATAAACTCGTTTATCTACTGGACATCTCAGACTGCGCACAGCCAAAGCAGAATTCTTGGGTGTCCTCACCAGGCCTGTTTCCTAGAAGAGTAAACAGGCCTACAAAGTATCAGACACTGTTCTGCGCTCAATGAATCCTCACTACCTACGATAGGTACTAATACGATCTCATCTCATGGAGGCAGGGGACCTAGATTTCAAACCAGGCAATTGGTTGGAGTCCACAGCCCACCAGCTTAACCACAATGCTAAATCCCCACTGCTGTAACCAGTCTCAGTATTCACCCAGCAGCCCAAGTCAGAGACCTAATGTCACACTTGATCCCTCTATTTCCCTCAACCCCCCACATCCAAACCACTGGGAAGTCCCATTGGGTCGACCTCCAGATCCTGTCCCCTCTCTGCTCATGACTTTCCATCACGACAACCTGGGCCACTGCAACAGTCTTATAAATGATTTTCTGGTTTCCATTCCTGCCTCTTCACAATCAATATTACACAAACCAACCAGAACGTTCTTTTTAAAAGGTGAATTAGAACAAGTCACTTCCTGCTGCAAATTCTCCAACGGCATCCAAAGCTCTTGGAATAAAATCCTCACTCCTCCCCTTGGCCTGGGAGGCCCCAGAGGCTCTGACCTCAAGCTCCTCTCACTACACTCCAGACACAGCCCTTTCCTCTGCTTCCTGAAACCTGTAAAGCTAGGTCTTGCCTCAGTGTCCTTGTGGCAATTTTTTCCTCAGCCTAAAAGCTCTTCCCCAGATCCTCACAAGATCATATCTTTCTGTCATTCAGGTCTCAGCTCAAAGAAACCTCCCAGGACAGGATTTCCCCCGTCAGGGACCCATCAAAGCAGGTTCCACCCTCTCCGCAGGTCACTCTCTAGTACCTCAACCTATGCTGTCTTCATCATAGCGTCCCGACAGATCCTCATTTGTTTGCTGCTTGTTTCATGCCCTTTTCCCTTTCAACATTCATAGAGATTAGGAACTTTGTCCATCTTGTTGAATCCTGTATCCTGAGGGCTTAGATTAGCCCGTGGGTAATAATGCCTAATAGCAGCCACTCACTAACACTTGTTGGGTAAACAAACTGTCAGGACCCCCCTAACAGCTTTCTATTGCCTGTGGATAAAGAATAACTCTGTTTATAAACAGATGCCACAAGCCCCGGCCCCTTCTCCCCACCATCTCAACAAACCTAAGTAATTGGATGGATTTTCCTTAGGAGAAGGAGCCTTCTCTGCCAGCCTCAACCAGGCTGTGCCTGTGCGTCCCCCAGGACGTCCCTCCTGCCCCCCGTGGCCGGATTAAACTCCAAATCATCCTCCAGAGTTCTGCTTAAACATCTTACTCAAAAAAGCTTCCCTGAGACCCCAGGCAAGGTTCCATCCCCTGTTTTACATCCCCTACAATACCCTGGATTTGCCGTTACAACCCTGTCACACTTAGCTTTTAACCGGTTACTTGTAAAAACTTGTAAAATAAACAAAAACAAAACTCTGTTTTCCAGACCACGACTTTAAACTCGATAACCCCAGGGAATAACTCTGTTCTACTCATTCAACAAAAAGCTTGATACTAAGTGTACTGCCTGACCATAAAACCAATTGGTTTTTTCAAACATGGGAAAACCAGAAACTATATATTCTCCAGTGTGCAGAGGCTACAAGCCTTCCTTGAACTTGCCTGCTCAGGAAACCATGACCCATTCCCCTCACTCCCCCCCACTGCCTGCCCTGGCAGACCCAGAACAAACTGGCCACATCCTCTGCTCAGATATTCGCTGCTCCCTCCCTCCTCTCAGCAGCAGAAGAGCCAGATTGCCCTCCCTCCATTGGGTTCTCTTATCCTTGCAGTGTGGTCAGGGAGGCCAAGCAGAAAGATCCTGCCTGGTTCTGACACCCCAGAAGGAAGTTCAGATCAAGTGACAAGAAAGCCCAGACCTGGATTAAATACGGAGGCCACCAGACCCAGGGAATTAGAGATGGCTCGGCCTCACCCTATCAGGGTCTTTAATTGGTATAGGCCACCAAAGTGCAAAGACAAAAAGCTAAACTACTGACAGATAAGCTCATTTAATTTAGTGCCTAAAATCCAGCTATCCTGAATTTTCAAGAGATTGTTCATATGGTGTTGGCGAGATATATATATATATATATTTATATATTTTTTTCTTTTGCGGTACACGGGCCTCTCACTGCTGTGGTCTCTCCCGTTGTGGAGCACAGGCTCCGGACGCGCAGGCCCAGCGGCCATGGCTCACGGGCCCAGCCGCTCCGCGGCATGTGGGATCTTCCCGGACCGGGGCACGAACCCGTGTCCCCTGCATCGGCAGGCAGACTCTCAACCACTGTGCCACCAGGGAAGCCCGATATATATTTTTTAAATTGGTAAACATCAGTGTGTAGTTTCTTATCTTCTTCCATAATCATCAGGTTGGGGAAGGTTGGTTAAGCTCTGGAGAGACACTGATGGGCTCCCTGGCTCCATCCTGCCCTACTCTGGACTGTGTCCTTACCCTTTCTGGATGAGCCCACGGGGTGCACATGCACAGATGCAGATAGAATTGCTAGGCTCTTAGAGCTGGAGAGAATATTCCCCTTTACACGGACACTAAGGGAACCACAGTGTGGAGACGTCAGGCTCCTCTTAGATCTAACTCCTCATGCAAAGGGTATCTTCACTAAGGTCTTAGATCTTAGTTCTCAGTAACCAGCAGGCAAAGTTGGCCCCCAGCCAAACTGAAATAATTGCTCTCTATCGTGGGTACCTTTTCTTACTACCAGGCCCCTCTACGCCTGGGAGAAAAGTACCAGCAAAGAGAAAAGCTGTTTCCCACTTAAGATACTAGCAATGTAATATCTTTACCTTCCAAGGAGGAATACTAGGGAAGAAAATGCATAACACAAAGACAAAAATTTCTTGATGGTGGACTCTGGGGTCAAGGGATAGGAAGCCTCTGTGGTTTCTCCATCGGCCCCCAGCTCCCAACACACAAAAGGAAGCAGAATCGCATTATGACGCGGGCACCTTCTTCGCTTTGGCACAAGACCCCCTGGCAAGCAAAATATTTTAAATCATAAGAGAAGTACCACAATAGTTAAATATTTCACATAATTTAAAAAGTAACCCCATGAAAGCATGATTGTAGAATGCCCAAACCTATTCTGTACCTTGCCTAACATCAGACAGGAAGATAATGGCAAAGCTGAAAAACATTTCTGTTGGTCTAAGTAAGAAAAACTTGCTTCTCCTGTGTTTCTCCTTTACTCTCACATTACTATCAGACTCACAATACTTCTGACATCAGCTATGGGGGCGTTTCCACACACCAAGCAATTCCGTGACACCAGCTGGGCATCCTACAATTTAACTCAATCCTGACACTATCTACCTGGAGATCGAGTCAGATCCCTCAGGTTAAGGGCTCAGCCCCACAAGACTGCCCCCCACTCACCTCACTCCAGATGCCAATCGCAAGTCCAGATTATCACCAGTGCTTCTGACCAGTGGGCTATAAATCAGAGGTTCCCACAACCTCCTCCTTGAGTTCAATTAATTTGCTACAGTGCCTCACAGAACTCAGGAAAACAGGTTTCTTACGGGGTTACCGATTTATTGTAAAAATGATATGATAAAAGATACAGATGTACAACCAGATGGAAGAGGCATGTGGGGATGGGTACCGAGCTTCCATTCTCTCTCCTGGCACGCCACCCTCCCGGCACCTCCATGTGTTCAGCAACCCTAAAGCTCTCCAAACCCCATATTTTTGAGATTTCTATGGAGGCTTCATCATGTAGGCATGATAGATCACTTCCAGCTCCTTTTCCCTCTCCAGAGAACGGGGGTGTGGGACTGACAGTTCCAAGCTTCTAATCATGGCTTGGTCTTTCTGGTGACCAGCCCTCATCCAGGAGTCCACCAAAAGTCACCTCATTAGAACCAAGGATACTGCTATCACCCAGGAAATTCCAAGGGATCTAGGAGCTCTGTGTCAGGAACCAGGGTCAAAATGCAAATGTTAGAACAAAAGATGCTCCTGGTGTAGGAAATTATAAGGGTTTTGGGAGCTCTGTGCCAGAAACCGGGGGCAGAAACCAATATATTCTATTATTTCATGTGGCCTTAACCCAGTTCTAACATTCCCTAGAGTAGTGGGGATAAAAGCACACCCCTAAACATGAGAGGTAACAAGCTTTTCTTTTCATGTAAATGGACAAAAAGTCTGTACAGTTTTTAAAGCTGTCAACCATTTTTGATAGTAACTCAAAATACGCAATGAATGCCAAGTATTCTGAGGATTTAGAATTTTATGAGAAAACATAAGGAAAAAGTATATATTTAACAAATGTTAAAATATATATATATATAATGAAGAGAAAGAACTTTAAACTGTACAACTCCATAAAAGTAGTCTAAGTGAAAACAGAGTGTTGGTGAACAAAGTTTCATTTCATGAAGCTACTTTATAGAGTCTGCAACATATTAATGATTATTCGTATTTCCTTATTTTACTTCTGGAGAAAATATTTTTCCCGAGCCACCAGTATGAAATCAGCCTCATGGGAAAAAATACTGAAGAGGCAAGACAGCAGGCGGAGTGATTTTTTTTTTAAGAAAAACGTATACTCACGCAGTAGTAGTCTGCACGTCATGCCAGCTTCTGCTGAAGTTCTGTTTTAATTCATTCATCAAGTTCATGCCGAGTTTTTGTTTTATCTCAACCAGACGCCTTTCTTTCGCTGATAAAACTTGTCGTAATGTTGTAATTTCATCTTCTAGCTACAGGTAGGAGGGAAAATGGTGGGGGAAGAGGTCAGACCAGCTGAAACACACACGGGCGCCCTCGGTGCTCCAAAGCAGCCTCTGCAGCCTCTTGTTTACATAGCCCAGTGCATGGCCTTAGCAAACACATCCTGTAGAGAAGACTGTCTAATATTTAAAAATGAAAGTAGATTTTTTTAGCTTTAATAATTCTAAAAGAAATCACTACTCCTTGTAAAAAATTCACTCATACAGGGGCTTCCCTGGTGGCGCAGTGGTTTAGAGTCCGCCTTCCCTGGTGGCGCAGTGGTTTAGAGTCCGCCGATGCAGGGGACACGGGTTCGTGCCCCGGTCCGGGAAGATCCCACATGCCACGGGGCGGTTGGGCCCGTGAGCCATGGCCACTGGGCCTGCGCGTCCAGAGCCTGTGCTCCGCAACGGGAGAGGCCACAACAGTGAGAAGCCCACGTACCGCAAAAAAAAAAAATTCACTCATACAGCAAAATGTAAAGAAAATAAAAATCATGTGTCATCTACTAGGAAACAGCCACTGCTTAATTTTTTTGGTTTCTAATCATCCAAACGTTTTTCTAAAATTATACACAGATATAATTTTTGAACAAAAGACTGTTTTTGTAGTCTATGCCTAACAAGTTCTTTTAAAGTGTTATTAGTCAGTGTTGTTTATTTTTTGCCAACCACACCTAGCATATGTTGTGGTTTGCCAAGGTGGTGCCTCAGGAGAGAATGAACAAGGGAGGAGAGGATGTATGCAAGGGAGTGATTTGTGTTGATTTTTCTTTTTAACAATTTTAACTGACATGTAATTAACATACAATAAACTGTACACACATAAAGTGTCCAATCTGTAAGTTTTGATATATGTATACTCCTTTGAAGTCATCGCCTTAATCAACATAGTAAAGAAATCATCACCTCCAAAAGTTTTCTAGTTCTTCTTTGTAATTCCTCCCTCCCTTTTCTCTTCCTTCACCCAGGCAGTCACTGATCTTTCACTGGAGTTTAGTTTGTATTTTCTGGAATTTAATATAAATTGAACTACACAGTATAAACTCATTCTTGCCTGACTTTGTTCACTCAGTATAATAATTTGAAATCATCTGATTCATCCATGTTGCTGCATCATCAATGGCTTTTCCTTTTTTCTGCAGAGTAGTACTCCATTGTATAGATACACCACAGTTTGTTTTCTATTCAACTACTGAAGGATATTTGGGTTTGGCTAATGCAACTAAAGCTACTATTAACATTCATGTAGAAGTCTTTGTACTGATGTATCTCCTGTTTCCCCTGTGTTAGCAGAACAGTAAATCTCTCCAGCATCATAAAATTGCTCTTGTACACTATGGAAAACAGTATGGAGATTCTTTTAAAAATTAAAAATAGAATTCTCATATGATCCAGCAATTCCACTTCTGAGGATTTATCCAAAGAAAATAAAAACACTAGCTCAGAAAAGATACACGTACCCCCCCCACATGTTCATTGCAGCATTATTAACAATAGCTAAGATATGGAAATAACCTAAGTGTCCATTGATAGATAAATGGATAAAGAAGATATTTTACATACACACACACACACACACACACATACACATACAGAAATATTATTCAGCCATTTTAAAACGAAGGAAATCTTGCCATTTAAAACATGGATGGACCTTGAGGGCAATATGCTAAGTAAAAGAAGTCAGACAGAGAAAGACAAATACCATATGACTGTATAATCTTATATGTGGAATCTCAAAAAAACCACCAACCCCATAGATAAAGAGAATAGATTGGTGGTTGCCAGAGGCAAGGGAGGGGTGTGGATGAAATGGGTGAAGGGGATCAAAAGGTATAAACTTCCTGTTATAAAATAAATAAGTCATGAAAAAATTGCTCATGCAAATCTGATTTCTAATAAAGGAGTTCTGTAAAATACCCAGATTTTAGAGAGCATTGCTATATTTTGTGAAAATAATTTTGAACCTCCTCAAAGTCTCTGATTCCAGGTATCATACTTTATTCCATTGTCACACTCTGTAACATATTGCCCTGGTAATATTGCTTAAATTTACATCTTTGTTTTCTGAAAAGTACAAATATTTGTGACTTTCTTTGTGAAGCCAGAAGAGAATCAATAGTACTCCCTTAGTATCCCACACGCACAGAGGTAAAAAAAAAAAGTGCCTGACACTTTATGAGATTATTATTTTTTTTAATGGAGATCTGGGTCTCATTTACATTCTAAGTGTCACTCTACTTCTGACCACAAGGAGCATCACTAACCCTGTCAGTCATCTTGCAAATGTGTTCGTGGGTCACCAGAGACGTAGCTGCTAAAAAACACATCTCAACAATGACAGTTACCTTTGCAAAAATTAGTCCTTTTTATTAGAGCAAGGAAGATTTTACCGCAATGGTGAACAGACAAAAATAGCATTGTAAACCTTCGTATTCACAAAAAATCACTTAAGCAAAACAGGCAGAAATACTGAATCAAGCATCTTAAATAATCTAGTAGAAAAGAACAATATCTTGGAGCTTTTAATATCAGCAAAATGTCCTAGTAATCTAACATTATCCATTTTTTTTATGGTTATGGAACATTTCTTTTATGTTCATGGAAATCTTTCTGAAATGAATTTCACCTTCCATAAACATGTTATAATCAATAGCACCCTGTCTTTTCTTGATGAGCAAGAGTCTTCAGTATGCAGACATATACTCATTACTGCAAAAGGAGTGTACCTAGGGACCAGCAAAGGGGATCATGTTTTTAGTCTTTCCATTAAATGAGAACACACTGTCATTTATTTTATTTTTTTTTGGCGGTGGCGGGCCTCTCACTGTTGTGGCCTCTCCCGTTGCAGAGCACAGGCTCCGGACGCGCAGGTCCAGCGGCCATGGCTCACAGGCCCAGCCGCTCCGCGGCATGTGGGATCTTCCCGGACCGGGACATGAACCCGTGTCCCCTGCATCGGCAGGCGGACTCTCAACCACTGTGCCACCAGGGAAGCCCAGACACTGTCATTTTAAAGTCAAACCCTTCTATCCTTTTGCTCTCATGTTATATTCCACTTTTTCATCTTTGTCAATGTGTTCTTCTGCATTTAGTTTGCTGCCTAAGATTTCTCAAGGTTGTATCTCTATCTCTCTTACCATAGAAGATAAGTGGGCTTCATTTCAGCCTTTTATTCTGTATTAGAAAGACCTTTTGGCTTTCTTTCAGTTTGGGTGACTGAAATGACTAGGAATCTGGTTTTGTACATATATCAGGTATTACTGTAGTTTCCAACTTGTAACAAAATTAATGGGAAGTTTTTTAACTTGCAAAAAGAAATTAAAGATGTAGAGAAGAAGAAAGAGGTTTAAACATCTTGGTATTCTCAATCTTATATCTATGGAACCCCAGAAATTTATTCAAAACTATGGGGGACAGTAAGATATTCATTAGTTATTTGGGGGTGGGAGGAGTGGGTAAAGTATTCACAATTTTCTAATGAAATCCACGATCCCCAAAAGTGCTAGAAACATTGAAGTGACCAATTTACCAAACAACATCCTAAAGAAAGATAAAATTCCACACCTAATAATTTAAAAATCGAAGCATACGTTAAAAGGCATTTGTAGAGAAAAAACTTCTAATGATGGAAACATGAACTCAGTTACTCTGTTGGGTCTATTGTCAGGTTCTATAATGAAAGTCTCACCATTTCAATAAAATGTAAGGCTCACACTTCTTAAAGCTTTCATTTATTTATCAGTGATCTAAATATATGCCAAAATATCTATGAAGCAAAACCCAGAAGGTGAAAAAACAGATAATCTTAAATTACATTAACATGCCAGCCTGGAAATGGCCAATCTCATCTCTCTCAGCAGAGCAGAGAGTCCTGACACAGCAGAAGGGCCTTTAATCACAAATGGTTTAAATGACAATCCTGGTAAGATTCATTCACTTATTTGACTAATGAGAATTTTTGGCCTAGTTACACCAGTGGTTCTCAATTTCAGTTTATATAAAAGTCACTCAGAGAGCACATTTAAAATGCACATTCCAGAAATAGGCCCCTTTTAATGCCCTAAGATTCTGATATCTCAAATTTGGTGAGGCCAGCCTACATATATTTTTTAACAAGCACCCCCAGATATTCTGATGCAGGTAGTATGCAAATTCTACATTGTAAGTACCTCTGCAGCCATATCAAATTCGTTTTGGAATGAGCTGGAGAGCAGGTAAATCATCAATTAAAGTATTTAAGATATCCTTTCCCCTTTAATTTTAAATTAATCATATCTTCACTAGAAACTGATAGTCTGGTTCTTTGGTTTCTTGACCCCTTAGAAAGATCCTCTTTTTTTTTTTTTTTTTGGTGGTACGCAGGCCTCTCACCGTTGTGGCCTCTCCCATTGCAGAGCACAGGCTCCGGACGCGCAGGCTCAGCGGCCATGGCTCACGGGCCCAGCCGCTCCGCGGCATGTGGGATCTTCCCGGACCAGGGCACGAACCCGCGTCCCCTGCATTGGCAGGCGGACTTCCAACCACCGCGCCACCAGGGAAGCCCAGAAGATCTTCTTATAGGATAAATATTTATGCACAAGGTTAGATATTTCAACTTGATTACTCAGATATGAATGAATAGGAATGAAAGTGTTGGTGAGGATGTGGAGAAATTGAAACCCTTGTTCATTGCTGGTGGGAATGAAAAATGGTTCAGCCACTGTGGAAAACAGTCTCTCAGTTTCTCAAAAAGTTAAACATGGAGTTACCATATGACACAGCATTCCTGCTCCTAGGCATATTCTCCAAAGAATTGAGAACAGGTACTCAAATAAATACACGTATATGCATGCTCAAAACAGCACTACTCACAATAGCCAAAAGATGAAAACAACCCAAATATTCATCAAAGGACGAATGGATAAACAAATTGCAGTATATACATAAAATGGAATATTATTCAGTGGTAAAAATGAATGAAGTACTGATATAAGCTACAACACAGGTGAATCTCAAAAACACTAGGCTAAGTGAAATAAAGCCAGCCTCAAAAGGTCACATATTGTATGATTCCATTTACATGAAATACCTAGCTAAATCCACAGAGACAGAATGCAGGCTGATGGCTGCAGAGAAGAAAGAGAAATGGGAAGCAACTGCTTACTGGGTATGGGGTTCCCTTTTGGGACGATTAAAATGTTTTGGGGCTGGACAGAGATGGTAGTTACACAACACTGTAAGTTTCTAAATGCCATTGAATGGTTCAATTTAAAATAGTTAATTTTATGTTATGCCAATTTATTTCAATGAAAAAAATTATAAATTTAGTAATGAGTTAGCTTCAATATGAAATTTATATTAGAAGATTGAAAACTTACTTTTCTATTTAATCTGCTATATTACATAAAATATCTAACTTAAATCCAGAAAAAGAAATACTTTTATAAACTATTAAGTATCAGTATGATGTTTAGGAGTAAGAGCATGTGGTCTCTTGTACACACTGCTTCAAGTCCTGCCACTTCTCCTGGTTACTCCTGCCTTGGCTAAGAATATGGAAGAATTAAAATTAAAACGCAAATAGTATCTGGGAGGGTGTGACAGGCCATGGGGTGCCCAGACATTTGGTCAAACATTATTCTGGGTGTGTCTGTGAGGGTCAGTCTGCATGAGATTAACATTTGAATTGGCAGACTGAGTAAAGCAGATTGCTCTCCCAAAGTGGGTGGGCCTCATCTAATCAGTTGAAGACCTAGATAGCACAAAAAGGCTGATCCTCCCTTGAGTAAAAGGGAACTCTATCTGCCTGTCTGCTTTTGAGATGGGCCACTGTTTTGTCTTGTTGTTGTTGTTGTTTGTTTTTTTGTTTTTTCCTGCCTTCAGATTCAAACTGTAACATTGGCTCTTCCTAGGCCTTCAGACTGGAGCTACACAATCAGCTAAGTCCTTATAATAAATCTCTTTCTATATACATATATATATCCTATTGGTTCTGCTTCTCTGCAGAACCCTGATTAACACAGAGGGGTGTTACAATAAGACAGTATTGGTTGTGAAGACTTTAGTTGTTCACTAGCTCAGTCCAGAAAAAATGAAAGTCTTGAAGGAAAAAAACTGAGAGAGGAAGGAAGAGCTTAGGGCACTTCTTTGGAAAGGCTAAGAGATGGGTGGCTTGAGGGCACTGTGTGCTTTTCTTGGGGAATGACACACTGAGCAACAGCCATTGTCTACTTGATGATGCTGTCTGGTATTTTTCCTACTATTAATGCCCATTTTTCTTGAGTCATTTTATCTAGGGGACATTGGCAGTACTTGATTGTTATATAATCATAAATTTATGGTTCTAATGCTAACACTTCATCCTTTTCAAAAGGCAAGCCACATTATAGAATACTGAGCATCAAATGCAGCTTAGCGAAATGAAAGTGGGAGTGGGATGTCAGTAGCACAGAAATATTGAGCAAGTTTATCTAAAAAGGGAGAATGGAAAAAACAACCCACAGAATAGATGCATAAAAACCTCAGGAAAGATGTTAGGAGCAGCTGGTAATAAGACTAATGAGAACAAATATCTGAAACAAAATAATATTTCTTTATATATTGACAAGATTTGTAAAAAAAAATATATTCTTCTTCCAGTATTCACAAATATAAATGTTTGTTGGTGCTATGATTCAAGTTATTTATAAATCTTAATTGCACACCTTCTGTGCACAAACTACTGCACCAGATCAGAAGTGATATTGGCCCCGCACTGAAGGAACTTTTAAAAACACACATATAGCGTGAACATAATAACAAACTCGAGACTGAACTGTGTTAACGACAGATTACTCTTTTAAGATGCAGACCTCAGCTAAGATGTAGCCCCTTGGACAATACTGGCTTATTTTATGTCTCTCCCCACAAGGACAGGTCTTCCTTCTGCCAGCACTTGGTAAGCACAGCAATGTGCTGGCTGTGTGGCTGAATGGGGTTACAGGCTCGCTTGAAGTCTAAGGGCGCCCTCATGAGAATACAGACCACAAAACAGTGCAGGGTAAAGCAGTGGGGCAGAGATCCAGCACAGTCAGCAAACAGTAGGAGAATCTGAGGAAACGCGGGACAGGAGTGTACAGAAGAGGAGAGCGGGTGCCTGGAACACCCCAAGACCCCTCTAAGCAAAGCAATCAGACGTAAGAAGTCCTCCTACACGAAGCTCTTGCTTTGGATCACGGCCACAACTGACTGCCTGAATCAAAAGCAGTCTAACAGGCTGACCTGTGAGGTGTCCTGTTACCCAAGTGCCTAACAGACCCAGTAGGATCTTCCCTCAAACAGAGAGGGGTTGCTTATGACCAGGGGCCCCAGAGGAATATCTGTGGAGAATTGAGGCAGAGAAGCTGAGCTGTCTGCACGATGTCTCAGTTCTTCATAGGGCCAGCCGTGGGACTGCTGAGATGTCCTTGATGCAATTAAACCCTAGCATTTACGGTAATCTGAATGCATGTGTGATATGAAAGAACCTAATTTGTGGTGTGTGTGTGTGTGTGTGTGCGCGCGCGCGCACGTACACTGTGAAAGGGCAGAGAAAGTGGATTTAAGAGAAGAATGAGCAGAAAGCAGAGGTGGCCTAGATGGAGGGAGAAGAAATGGACATGTGAAGAGGAAAAATAGCAAAGATCCCCTCCTTTGCTTTTTGCTGGGCCTGAGGCAAACAGCTGTGCCCAGTGCCCCTGGAGGTTACACTGCTACCTTTGGCAAGACATGGCGCTTCTCCATCCCTGAGGAATCCAGAAATAAGAGACAGGAAGCATGGAGGCTAATGCATCCTAAAGGATGAAAACATCAATCCTGGTAACGTGAAAAAGTAACAAGTAGTCTGATGTTATTTTCAGAAGTCAGGCTCAAAAAGTCTTAGGAATGAGACACACTGGAGGGTCATTAATGTGGCCAAATGAGACAAGAATGTGTGAAAACACTGGGTTTTTATATTCATGGGGGCATCCATTGAGAACCAAGGCTTACTGTTTCTTGATTATAAACATAATACTTGCTCATTGTTGAAAGTTTAGAAAATACAGCATGCAGGCACACAAAAAACACAGATGCATGTACGTGTGTGTGTGTGTATATATATATCCCAGTAATCCCAGAACTGAGAAAAATCAAGTCATTTTATAAAAGTTGCTCTGTTACAGAGGTTGTGTATGAACTTAAACTTGGATGATAACAGTGAAGGAGTTAAATTTCAGCTTAGAATCAGTTAGCTGATGACAGTCTGCAGAATATAACTTTTGTCAACACAATTGACGGGAACAAGTCATAATCCAGGATTCCAGGCCCTAAGAAAACGTGGAGCTCAGATAGTCTCTGTTTAGGTTGACTTTGGTTCGTGCACTCTGGCAGGTGTGGCCAATCTGAAATAAACGAGGTGGCTCTGGATCAGTGGCCGCAGACAGGTCCAGCTAAAGAACCAGGCTATTTGATCTGAGGCCCTGTCCTTACTAACATAATTTCTGCTGTACTAGAAGAACAAGCTGCTCCTTCATTTTATCATGAGGTTATTCTAGGCTGTGTCTTACGAAAGCACCTGAAATGTCTTTAGTATTATTATGAGCTGTCATAAACACACACTATCAGAACCTTAGAGCTTGGAGAGTCTGGGGAGGACACAGCGGGGTGAAGCTTAATTTAAAGCTGTGTCTCCAGCCTGTAGAAGAGGCCAGAGGAAGAAGACAAGCCTTGATTCCAGCTGGACCAGGAGCTTCCTACCCTCTGGGCCAGGGATTCAAATGGGGAGGAATGCTGGCCCCTTCCCCTCTTGCTCTACTGCTTCTTCTACTTGAGAAGCTCCCTTCTCCTGCCCTTTCCTCCTATAATGTAAACGCTCCCTAATAAAGTATTTAAGAGGTAGCAAAGTGTATGTAGTGGGTGCTACAAACAAATGGCTTGAACAAAGAGATGTCTTCACGACAAGCCAGGCACCCTCCTCATCTCTAGGTCCAGATGCCCACGGCAACTACACAAGCTCTAATGAAGCCTAAAGTCATCATAGCTTCCCTCTCTACCGCTGGAGCTTTATTCTTCTGAAAAAGAGCACATCAACTTAACAAATTCAGTTGCTTCTATGAATGAAGTTTTCATTATAAACATAAATCCTTTCATATTATTTGTTAAGCTAAGCTGCTGACCTAAAACAACTGCTCTTCAAAGGCAGCTTGCGACTGTACCAAGGCCTTGAAGGAATTCCATAAGGTTTGTAAGTGATTTATTGTCCCCATAGCATTGTGATACTAAGAAGAGTAAGAGGTGCATATTTCCAACTAATTATTGTTGCTTAAGCAGCATAACCGTTTGTTTTCCTATGGCCACCAATGGATAATGGACAATTAGCATTACAAAAATACCTCAGAAAAATGAATCATCTTACAATATATCACTTATTAAATCTTATTAAATGAAAGACAACATAATTGTAATATGCAACTTATATCAACTAACAATAATTCTCAGGATTTGGAGATAGACATAGCAACAATAAGAAGATTACTAAACATACCTGAACTAGTTCTGCCTTTAATTCTTCTTTTTCCTCCTCAGAGAGCATGCTAGGGAAGTCAGCACTGGCTCCTGTGTCTTCATCTCTTCCTTGCAGTGGTTCAGTCTCCAACAAACCTTTAGGCAAGATTGGCAAAACATAACGCAAGTTAAAAAATGAATTTAGGGCTTCCCTGGTGGCGCAGTGGTTGAGAGTCCGCCTGCTGATGCAGGGGACGCGGGTTCGTGCCCCGGTCCGGGAAGATCCCACATGCCGTGGAGCGGCTGGGCCCGTGAGCCATGGCCGCTGAGCCTGTGCGTCTGGAGCCTGTGCTCCGCAACGGGAGAGGCCACAACAGTGAGAGGCCCGCGTACCGCAAAAAAAAAAAAAATAAGAATTTAGCCAAATTCTACTTCCATGGTCTGAAGAACTAGATACTCTGACTGACCCTCCCACTGAAAAATAACTAAAAATTCCAGAAGAAAGAAATCCTTCTAAATGTGTCATGAGCTGTCAAGAAAGTAAAGAATACTAAGAATCCCCAAAACTAAGTGAAAGTGGGAAGTTGAGATGTAAACAAAACAAGTCTTCATTAATTCTACATTTACCACCCAGATGAATCCCAGCCTCAGTTTTTACTGTCCCATGGGATGCAGGGGGCAGAGGACAAAGCCCAGGGCCACGGAGGGAGAGAAGGTTATGGTGAGACCCTCCTGCCCACAGGGCTACACCCTGAGAGTAAGGTGACCTGGAAGTAAATACCTTCACTCCCCACAGGCATCTGCAAGGCAAATTGCCTGCCCTGACATTCAGCATGAAGTGGACAGGGCAAAAGGGCTTCCCCTGAGAATTCACAACCTCCCAGGTGGTCCAAAAGAACCTCGAGATAAGAGAGTATTAAAACTTTTTTCCACTTCGATGTGGAAATATGCAGATATGGAACCTGGAGCAGCTGCAGCCGTGAGGAAGTACTGTGGCCACACTGACTCTGTCAGAGGGAGGTGGGAAGCGCCTGGACAACGCAAATGCATATGTCCTCTGTAAACAGGCGCACATATATACGGAAGCTTTATTTATGACATGAATTATGACAGAGCTGGCATTCATACATCTCTGGAAAAAGGGAGGTCTTTTAATAAATTGTCCTGGAACAAATAGTTTTCCATATAGTAAAAATAAAATTGGACACCTTCACACCATTAACAGAGATTAAATTATAAATATTTTAGAAGACAATATGGGACTTTATATTTATGAACCTCTGGGTAGGAAGGGATTTCTTGAGACACACAAAAAGGGTAAATCATGAAAGAAAGGATGGATAAGATTGAGTTATCACTTCACACCTGTCAGAATGGTTATTGTCAAAAAGACCACAAATAACAAATGCTGGTGAGGAGAAAAGGGAACACTTGTGCACTCTTGGTGGGAATGCAAATTGGTGCAGTCGTTATGGAAATAGTAAGGAGGCTCCTCAAAAAACCAAAAATAGAACTACTATATGATCCATCAATTTCATCTCTGGGTGTTTACCCAAAGAAAACAAAAACACTGACTTGAAAGATATATACACCCCAATGTTCATAGAAGCATAATTTACAATAACAAAGATCTGGAAGCAACCTAAGTGTCCATCAACAGATGAATGGATAAAGAAGACATGGCATATATATATATATATATATATATATATATATATACACACACACACACACACGCAATGGAACATTAGTCATATAAAAGAATGAAATTCTGCTATCTGCAAAAATGTGAAGGGACCTAGAGGGTATTATGTTTAGTGAAATAATTCAGACAGAGAAAGACAAATACTGTTTGTTATAACTTATATGTGGAACATAAAAAAATAAAACAAATAAAACAGAAACAGCTCACAGATATAGAGAACAAACTAGTCATTACCAGTGGGAAGAAAGATGGAGGAGGGAAAAGATAGGGGTAGAGGATTAAAAGAGACAAACTACTATATAAAATAAATGAGATACAAGGATATATTGTACAGCACAGGGGATATAGGCAATATTTTTAGAATAACTTTAAATGCAATATAATCTATCAAAATACTGAATCACTATATCGTACATTTGAAACTAATATAATATTGTAAATCAATTCTTAATCAAAAAATAAGAATGGGTATTCCCTGGTGGTGCAGTGGTTGAGAGTCCGCCTGCCGATGCAGGGCACGTGGGTTCGTGCCCCGGTCTGGGAAGATCCCACATGCCACGGAGTGGCTGGGCCCGTGAGCCATGGCTGCTGAGCCTGCGCGTCCGGAGCCTGTGCTCCGCAACGGGAGAGGCCACAACAGTGAGAGGCCCGTGTACCGCAAAAAAAAAAAAGAATGTTTCTTCATCAAAAACACTAACTGTATGGAAAATAAAAAGACAAGCCACTAATGGAAGAAGATATCTCCCAGATGTAGAACTAGCAAAATTAGTTCCCAGAATAAACAGAATTCCTACCAACCCACATAAACAATGGAAATAACCCAATAGAAACATGGGCCAAAAAACCCAAACAGATTCATTACAGGGAGAAATCACAAGTGGTTAATAAATCCCGAATAACATGCTCAACCTCACTGATATTCCGGGAAATACAAATTAAAACATTTCATACCCACTGGATTAGCAAAAAGTTAAAAGTTTGATGATATTAATAAAAGTTGATGACTATGTAGAGGATGGAAACTCTGATACACTGCTTACAAAAATATAAATAGATACAAATAACTTGAAAAAAATGTATCATTATCTAGTAAAGTTGAACATTCACACACCCTACAATCCAGCATTCCACACCTATGGATATACCCAAGACACTCATACATCAGTACCTGAGGTCATTAATAAGAACTTTCATGATAGCAAAAAACTGTAAATCAGCAAAAGTCTATCAACAGGAGAACATATAAGCACACCGTGGTCATTTACACCAAGACAGCTCGACCCTAGTGAAATGAGTCAACTACAGCCATGCACGCCACATGGGTGAAACTCAGAAACAAGATGCTGAGTGAAAAACACAAGTTGCAGAAGAATAATAAAGTATAACTGCACTTATATGAAGTCTCCAAACACACAAACTAAATAAAGTACTGTTTAGGAATAAAAGTAAAAAGACAAGCAAGGCTATGGTAAAAAATTCAGGACCATGGTTTTCTCTGAGGAGTGGGGGAGACCAATTTCAATGCTAAGTATTTCTTTTTCATGAGTAATACCTGTTCGTTGTAAAAGATAATAAAATAAAATGACCCATTAGTCATTAAAATTACTCTTAATCACACTACCCAGACATAATGATCATCTTGTCCATCCTTTCTGGTCTTTCTTCTATGCATTTGCTTACATTTTCTTGTATATATTTATATGCATTTACTGTTGTGAATTTAATTTACTTTTTCAATAGGATAACATGATATCCTTCATGTCTCAAAACATATATCTACCTTTATTTATTTTTATGGTTGTACAGTATTTTGTCTCATGTATGACTGATAATTTATCCTGTTTATTGGGGAGCTGCAGTGAACATCTCCTTGCCAAGTCATTAGGCAAAATCTTGATGATTTCCTACACACTGGGTTACAGAGGCAAAGGCCATGGACATTTTTAAACCTTCTGCCTGGTTATCCCCCAGAAAGGTGGTGCCAATTTTATGCAAACATCAGCAACCTAGGAGAGTATCTCTAGATTCTCGGTACAAGAATGTTAAGTAGGTCATTTAAAAAGTTTTAAACACTGTCATTTATTTTTGCTGGTAAATATTTATGTTTACATGTGGCCAATATATTTTTAGTCAGTGTTCTAGGATAACTGTCTAAATCAGGAATCAGCAGTAATTCCAAGCACAGTTTTAAGAGATGCGCCCAGAAGGTAAGCTGCCCACCTGCACTGGGGGCTGGGGAAGAGCCATAGGAGGAACCTGTAAGACACTCTGGTCTTCTCCCCAACTCAGCCTGGCCCAGGAACTTAGCAGATACTGCTCAAACTTAGCCAGAACCTAAATTCTCCATCTTCTCCTTTCTTGACAGTATAAGAGGACATGTACCAGGGAACAGACAACAGTTCCAGGCACTTAGACTTTTCAAGACATCAAACATCTTTAGTATCTTCCTATATTCTAGGAAGATTCGAAATCCATTTAAATTGCTAATATGTGAATTGGGAAACTTCTAGCAAATTTAGGGAAGGACAGACCTCCCCTTATCCAGCAGGTAGCTTCTACTTTTCAGGGGGAAGGTATATACATCTCATAAAGTGAGATATTTCCTGTACTGGCTTCAGCTCTGATCTGTCACACATGCCACTCCTCAGAGACATCATGAATCTCAAAGTTTCTCTCCCAGAAAGCAGCCATTCAGGAAATCTGCCTGGAGCCCAGAAGCTGCTATTTAGGTCAGGTCTAATTAGACCAGCTACCTTCTTTACTCTTGTCTTTGAAATAAATGTCAGTTCCCCATCATTTTTTTGACTCACTGCGTTAGGGAAGCAGCAATCACTCATGAGGTCAAAGGATAATTCCAGAATCAAGGAGTAAGGGGAAAAAGGAGTTCGATTTTAAAAAGTGATCAAACAGTGAAAGAGTCAAAATCAGAAAGAAAAAACAAGCAAATAGGAAGAGATACCAAGTGACAGATGATAATGTGAGAAGGGCAGTAAAATGAGTATAAAATAACCTAGTTACTATGGAAGAAGATATTAGAGAAGATTAAAAACATATTTTTAATAAAAGCAATAATTAGTGGGCAAAACTATTCAAGAAGCACAATTTTTAGCGGGTACCAATACATTATGAATTTTGTTCTCTTTTCCAAATGTGCAGACTACACCGCCTTTATCTGGCATAGAAGAAAGAGCACTACAACAGGAGTTGGGACACTTGGAATTCTGCCTACCTGTGGGCTTGCCACTAACCAGCAGAGGACACTTGACCTCAATTATCTCATCTGTAAAATGGGTACCTTACAGGATTGTTGTTAAGATTAAATGATGTTAAATCAGATAAGATATGTGAAAATGTTTAAATTTCCGTACAGACCTCAGCAACATATTGGTGAAGTTTGGGGGTGACAGTTTTTAAAAGTATTAATGTGCTATGTTCTCTTTTGTGTTTTAGC